GTGTGTGTGTGTGTGTGTGTGTGTGTGTGTGTGTGTGTGTGTGTGTGTGTGTGTGTGTGTGTGTGTGTGTCCTACATACAAATAGAAATTGGTCGCTTTCAAATGGAGATGATGAATCTTTAGCTGTTGGAATAACTCTTTTCTTGGAAGTGAAGTGGGGTCAAAAGAAAAGTATTTTTTAATGCCACAGTAAGCAGTTAGGTATTAGTCACTGCATTTTTAAAGCTGTTTACAGAATTGTGTCCAAATAGTTATTTTTTCTTAGACAAAAGACACAAAGAAAAGTCAGAAAGAGCCACAAAGAGAGGCAGTGCAAGGGTGAATAGAGCAAAACTGACATCCTCCTTTTCCCATGCTTATCACATCGTTTTTCTTTTAACAGCCAGTTGTAGACACTTCCTTTTTATTGGAACTATATCTGTTCCTTCAGAAACATCACACACAGTTGGCAGTGGAATGCACAATTAGCATATTCATGAGATGAATACAGTGGAAACTTTGGAGTCGCAAGCGACAGGGGGTGTGGGGTGGGAAGCTGTTTGTGTGTGTGTGTGCATGCGTGTGTGTGAGTGAGTGTGTATGTTTGTTGCGGAACAAAAAAGCAGATGGCACGGTGACTTTGAAAATCCAAAATTAGGTATGTTTTCATGAACTTCATGCTCATTGGCTATGTAAATCGCACAGTCAGACAGTCATGAAAGACAATGTTGTGTGTGTTTTCCAGCTTTTCCTCTGAGATCATGTTTGTTGATTGAAATCTGCTTGCTGCTTGGAGTCTCTTAACAGTTCTAATTTTGAGAGTGTGTACATCTTTGCGTGCATGCGTTTGTGCGTATGCCCTCACATGCTGTGTATATTATATTTTATTGAAACTGACGTGCGGTCTTCTTAAATAACTGCCACGTGGACGCAGATCTGGCTTTGAACAGTGAGATGTTCCTCACGCCATGCCAGAACTACTTTTGATCATTTAAAAATGGAGACCACAGTCTTTCTGCCCAATTTGGACTCAACTTACATCATTTCTGAAAGGCTTTTTAAAATGTTGTGCTTTAACCACAGAGGACTCTCATGGATGTAGGGAAGGAGGACATGCAGAGGGTTGGTGTGACACAAGGGTAGGATGAGACGGAGGCAGGTGATCCTCTGAGGTGACCCCTAAGGAGAGCAGCAGGAAGACGATTTATTTAACTTGAGCAGAATAGCTTTGCTTGAATCACAGTATTACTGGGTCTTGGTGCAGCTGCTCAGTTCCTCCAGTGCCTGAAAAAAGCCACTTCAGGCTCCTTCAACTTAACTTTCTTCTTATTGGCTGCCTCCCAAAAACAGAAGGTCTGATCAGCAGGTGGGTGGGGCATGTGTGCTGACAACCACAACATGCACATCAGATGATGGTGTAAGGATATCCACTTGTAGGTGGTGTGGTACCATTATCTGACTAGTTTGGTTTATGAGTTAATTGCACACAAAGAGAGCGTGTGCAGGCGACATGTGACATTTACTCATCTGCTGCAGTTTGTCTGTGAAAACTGCAATAACGTCTAATCTCTGAACTTTTAAACAGTTTTTTTGAAAGTGTTGTTTCGGCTTGCAGAGAGTCATTAGCTGAGTTAAATAAGGTTCGAGTGGTGCTAATTGTCCCGAAGCCAATCACTCAGATTACTGCCTCTAATTAATGGCTTTTTCTGACTTTACAAACAATAGACAGTTTATCCAGTTCTATCAAAATGCAAATGTACATTTTACAGTAGAGATAATAAACATATTGAGGTCAAATAAGAGTCCAAGCTACACATTTATCTCAAGGTGGAATCAAGTTTGTGTGTGAAATATATCTCCAAAGATAATGAAGATTATATTGTTATAAGTACAGTTGTGTTATGCATATTGTGTGTGTGTTTTTTGTTATTAAACAAACACATTCATCCTCTTACTTTGTTTGCTTGGATCAGAAGCATCCATTGGCTACCAAATGGCCAGTGCTAGCAAACCTCAGGTGGACAAAGACGTGGTCCCCGTACCTTTGTAATACCATGTTTTCCAGGTCTTTATTATTTACAGAGGTAAAGCGGGAAAAGCCTTACCACTATAGAGTGATTTAATTACTGTATTTCAAAGTGAAAGTAAATTAATTAAATAAGTCATTTTTAACATGTTAGCCTACTTTTGTAACATAAAGTAAAATCACTGTAAAACTTTAGCAAGTTAAGTAAAGCACCGCAGTGTTTCTCACACTCAGTGAATGATGTTGATTGATTTCAGCTCTAATCATATTTATATACAAAAAATAAACAGATAAATACATTATTCAGCCAACAATAAAGACTTAATGTGTTTATGATGTTGAATTTTTCAATCTTCAGTCTTGGTGAGGGCCTTTCCTGCTTTGGGACCTGATCAATAGTCAGTTGACTGCTGAGCTCACCTGACTATTGATCAGGTGAAGTCAATAGTCAGCATAACTTTTTCACATCAGGCATGTGACTTATAGCAGCAAGTGCACAGTTGGGGGAAGTTTTGTCAATGATGACTGTTTCATCAGGTTGTTTGCATTAACACCGCTGGCACCATGAACTGGCTCATGAAGATCATACTGTTGTGGCCACAGCAATGGTGACTGTTCAGAAACATTACACGGTCCCACCTAGAAGCTCATTATTTAGTTTAGGTAGTGATGGATGAGCAACAGTTAAAAGCATCAGGCATAGATCAGAATATTGTAATGTATATGCAGACAAACCCCTTAAGAGTATATGATAAAATAGCTAAGGCCCCAGCCAACCGCATGGTAACCACTGGTCGCTAGGGAAAAATGTGCGTTCCCTGACCAGTTGGCGAGTGGTTGCAGGAGGCTGCTTGCTGCCGGTAGGTGCAGTTGACTGCAAAAAGTTACATGGTGTGGCACAGAAAACTGTTGCTTGTGTTCACCAGCTTGTCTGCAAAACCTTGCTAACCAACTCCTGAATGGTACTGAAACGTGAAGTGGCAACTGTTTGCCTTAAAAGGAAAAGTTGTGCCAGTAAGCTATATCTTTAACTTTGAAGGCAAACTGTCACTGCTTGTAGTTACCAAGGCTTTTGCAGATAAGTTGGTATTTTCAGCGCAAAGCAACAGCGACTGCAACAATCCACTAGCACCAGAACAATCTTTGCGACTCACTTTACCAGTTGACTCCATTTCCCTCTGGGATTCATAAAGTTTGTCTTTTTCTGATTCTGATTCTGACTGCCAGCAACCTCCAGTAACCACTCCCCAACCGGGAAGGTAGTACACATTTTTCCACCGCAACCAAAAGGCTGAAAACAAAGCGAACTCCGGCAGCAAAAGAGCAGCGTTTTTATCAGTCACCACTTTAATACAAGTTTGACTAGTGTTTAATTAGTAGTTTCAGAAGCTTTCTTACGTCCTTTTTTCTATCATTGGAATGCACCAATGGATGACTAAGTGGCCTGGCCTTATACACAGTATTTGTAATGCTGCTTTCTGTGTATGTGTGAATTTCAGACATGGCACGCCGTTGGTGTACTTTGGAAGGCGGCTTCCTGAGTTACTATGAGAGCGAGCGAAGCCCTTCAGCCATTGGCAGGGTGGACGCCACCGAAGTCATTAGCCTGGCTGTCAACCACACAGAGACGATGACTGGAGCTGGGTATGAATGCACACACAAATCAACTAATTAGTGAAAGTGAGTACATGAAGAAGAAAATCTAAAGGCTTCAGGAAATTACTTCAGTCCAAATCACGGACTAGATTTCAAAACTTTTTGTGTTCCCCTAAGCTTGAACTGATTCTTTTCAAATGAACATCAAACTTATTTTACTGCTGTTATTTTAATATGGGTGTAAGACAGTGCCAACATTTGTTTTTTTTATGTATTTCTTAAACATAATGATATTTTTTTAAACTCACAATATGAGCTGTCCAGAGAGAACTACCTCAAATAACCTCAAACCTCCCAGAGCAGCAACAAACACCATCACATGTCCTATAGTAGCCCATGAGACTGTAACAGTTCTTTAAACCTCGCTCTTATTGGCTCATTGTCTTACTAAATTAGCCAACCTCTAAGTTTTGCCATGAAACTCTTCCTTAAAATCACCTCGTACAATTTTGGATTTGTCATTCCGTCAGTTAATCTATCCAGGCTCCGAGGTAGCGAAGCAAAGCCCAAACCTTGATGCTCCCTCTACTTGTGCTCTATCCCGTGCTGTAATTACATTTTTTAGGGTTTTTTCCCTCCGCTTTCAGACAAAACATTATAAATTTTTGCCTAAGCCTTCAACTTGAAATAAATTGAGATATCAGAGGGGGACAATGCTTCCATTAGCATCACTTTTATTCAGTGTTTTCTAACAGTGGAGCTACAAACGCAGATTTAGAGATTTCTGCAGAGATGTTGTGTTTCTACACTTGGCCCACTTTCAGGATTGAACGTTCTGCACTTGGTGTGATCTTTGCATGATGCCAGCTATTTTCTTATAGATGATTTGTGTTTTTGTGGGTTGGTTTACACTTTGGTCTTCATAAAGGCGTTTGTAGCTTTTTCTGGCTTTGCGCATCTCTACGAACCTTCGATGACCTTCAGAGTTGTTGCGATGTTTCACACCAATCCGTCTTTATTGTGTGCCATTATTTAGAGCCAGGGACACCTCTGCAAGTCACGCATCCCATCCTGGTCATACCAGATATTCACAGCTTTCCCTGCTGTGCTATTAATGTCGAGCATTTAACATTAATTTAAATCCAGTATGTGGGGACCGCACATAAATTACACTTTGCAGGAGATCAACAAGGTAATAAGGCTTTCATAAACACTCAACATTTAAATTTACTCTTATTCATGCACATCCCTCGTACATAAGCATACGCAGCACAACCCTGCAGTTAAACTGCTTTGAAATGCTTCATTTGCATCCTCTCTACTAAATCATAATTTATGTGATTGTTAAATCTGCTTTAAGGACACACGTGTCACACATACACAAAAGGCATTTTGAATAATTTATTTCTTTTATTGGTTAAAATAATTTTTACCGCACGTGTTATTCATCTATTGCAGCACCACAGCCTGCTTGACGTGGATGTATACCCAGGCTTCTGCTCTGTTTCTTTCCCCTCGTCGTGTGTCTCATTAGCATAACCTCAGACTGAGCATTATTCAGTTTTACAGAACCATCAGGGCTTTATGAGCGCTATGTTTACTATTTACTTTGGTGGGGATGCAGTTTTAACTGCCACTTCCTGTGTTCGTGTTACCGTTCCACCTCACCCCGATTGCGTTCAGCACTCCTCAGTCAGATTATGATGCAGCTACACCACAAAAAACAGCAAAAGAAAGTTGCTTTGACAACAAACTTTTATTTCCTTATTTATTTATTTCTTGTGGAAGTGGTACAAACACTCAAAAAAAGAATCAGCAGATGTCCCCATACGTCCCCGCTCACGTGCGTCACACTCCCACTGCATCCTGTATGTGCGTTCATGTGCCTGTCCCCCTGTTCCCGAGCTCGGAGTCTGATAACTGCTTATGATTAAAGCATAAGCCAAGTCCTTAATGATAGCAGCAGATGTTATGAAGAGGAAACAATGCTTTTATTTGTAAATGTTATGTATACAGCCATTAGAGACACATCTGGCTTGCTAAAACTTTGACCTTTTTTAATGAGCTGGACACACACACACACACACTGCCGTGACAGGTTACACTGATAATCATGCGTGTGCGTGTTTGGTGAGTTTTCTACAAAGCAGCATCGACTTGCACCATTTTTAGCCCTGCACATAAATCTCAGTTACAGGTCACGGCGTGACCTCGGCAACAGCTATTATTTCTCCGTCGCTGGCGCTCATAATGGCCGTGCGTTTCACTAGATTAAGCTCTGCCTCGCTCCGTCTCAATCCTGCAACTTCCAGCGTTCCCAGCATGCCCGTGCACGGAGAGAGCCGGGACGTCTCACCTCTCCACTGTCTGCCGCTCATGAATATTAATGTATGCAGATGACACACTCCCACCAGCAGCCTATCACCGTGCTGCAGGAGACCGTAGGTGTCATTTCCATTAAACATGGCATTTGGGTAATTTCACCGTGGCAGAGGACACCGTGAATTATAGCGCAGCCCCAAAACATACGTTGGCTAAAGTTTATGAATATTAGAAATCCACTCCTAAGGAATTAATGCAAAGGGAGTATGTTAGCTGGTGATAAGTTGATTTTTTTTTCTCCTTGCCTAAAAATTATTTTCTTACTCATCTGCCTGTTCTGACAAGAATATTTGTAAGTCGATTCCAACCTTCAGATTTAGCTAAAAGCCCTGGAACTGCTTCTTTTTCGTCCTTTTTAGCTGCTTGTTGGTGCGGTTTCATTATCTGTCATGTTCGTTATCATGTCCTCCTCTCGCACACAAGCTTTTTGGAAGAGCTTAGACGTCGACTTTGCAAGTGACATGGCGTTTCTATGTAGGGCAGGGAGTTTAGGCTTTTCCGAGGTACACGAAAGCATTGAGGAGAAACTAAAAAACTACAAAAATACATGTAGATAAGTTTGTGCACATTTAAACACAGGTAAGTCTTGTACAGCAGGTTTCCTCTGTGAGGAAGTGTTTCTTAACTCACTCTTAGTATAAAAAACTATTTTCCAGCACACTTAAAATAGCACGCACGTGTGTAATTGAAGCCTACTTGAAAATTGAATTGAACCAATTTAAAAATCTGGTCTCTAATAAGGAGGGTCAGCTTTTTACAGTAATGTGTGAAATATTTCCTTAATCATGGAGTTTTCACATGTGCAATAAAGGACAGAGAGCTCTTTTGATTGCTGTGATAAGGTGGCAGCATGCGCGTGAAAATTGAGGGTTCCTTATTTGATTTTCATCTGTGCAAAGTAGTAGAACTGAAATTCTTACTTAAAGAGTCCCGGATAAAAAGATGAGAAGTGTGGAAGAATCATATCTTTGGATATGCCTCCAAAGCTGCACAGGCAGAGCGGTTCCATCTGGTTTCATCTGGTCGACCTAGGAGGAAACTGACGGTCAAACTTTAGGGTGATGCTGTGATCTTTGCAGCAGTGGCATCATTGTGCGAACAAAACAAAAGCCAGACAGAGTAGATTGAGGTAAAACATGCAAAATAACAAAGACAAAGAAGAAATATAGCTGATTTATGGCGGCAGAAGCGTGTTATAAAACTGTTTTGTCCCCACGCAGGAGGACATAGCTGGGAATTATCATTCTAATGTCCATGTACATCAAACTTGATGTCATACCCAAGTTTATCAGATCCGTCCTGCACAGCGTGGCGTGCAATAAAGTTTCTTGGGCTGCTAACAATTGCATCATTTGTATCATAGGTGCCTTAATTTCTCTTGTGGAAACGTGGTGGGACCAGACAGACAGCTGAACATCTAGGACAACATTTTGAACATCTCCATATCTATATTCAGATAAAACTGACTGATATGTGTCACTAAGACTAGATGGTCAGGCTCAGGCTCACATAAAAAGACAGACTTCAGACTCTTCTGAGGTGTAAACTAACTGAATCACCTCTTTGGTTGCACTTTAACCATCACAAAGCAAGAGACTAAATGTCATTATGTGTTCATTTTCTTATTTCTGTCCATTTATTTTCTTCTGCTAATCCAATTCAGGGTCACATGGGGGTCTAGAACCTATCGCAGCTGTCATAGGGGGGGAAGGTGGGTGCAGTGTGGACGGGTCACCAGCCTGTCGCAGGGATAGGTAAGAGAGACAGACAACCATTCGGGCAATTTAGAATCACCAATTAGCCTAACCGCATGTGCAAGTGTATGTACTTTGAGAGAAAGGAGCGCAAACAGGTCCCTTTTTAAGAAATCTCAAAGTTACGTCATCTCGCAGTCTATGAATAAATCCCACTACAGGACAGAGGAAAATGAGTGACTTCAAAGTAAACTCTTTACTAAAATTAGTGTTTCTATTGTTGTCGTGTGCTTGTTACCTCGTGTGTCGCTCGCCTGCTGCAGCGTGATTGTGATCTGTATCATTTTTTTTGTCCTTTGTTACAGTGCATAACCAACCTAGTGACTCTTTTCCCCTGCCTGAAAGTTGCACAACAGCTAAACTTTCAAACTAAATTTAAATTTAAACAACAGCAAGGACAGAAATATCCCTGCAGAGCTCTCTGCTCCATGAGAACAAATGCTGCACCCTGTACCAGGGCAGGCAGGACCGAATTCTGATCACCGTTTAATAAAGGCAGAAACCATCTTACTGCCTTAAGCTGACTTCTCCCACCAAACTGGTGTCCACATCAACTTTTTTTAAAGGCATAAAGTTTGATAACTACATGTAGTTTGCTGTTGTGCAGATAAAGTTTATCCGTGAGGTGGTCCATAGGGGACAAACCGTTTCAAACTGATGCCATGTACAACACAAAACAGTGACCCATGTTTGCTTCTTATAGCTCATGTTCTTGCTCACATCATTATTTCAACACCTTTCTGTCTCTCCTTCCTTCTAGTTTGCTTCCTGTTTCTTTCTCTCCTCTTCCCCCTCAGCCGCTCCGTCCCTCTGGGACTCTCATGATGCAGCGTTCATCTCTCATCTCTCTCTTGTCCTTTCTTTACAAATGAATTTTCCCCAGCGCATCAAGGTAACCCCGCCCCCGCCGCTCTCTCCCTCGCACTCCCTCTAGGACCCCCTTTCTAACAAGCACCTGCAAGCCTCCCAGCGCGGAGGCAGCAGGGGGGGATTGCAGGGAAAGGGGGCGGGCCAGGTCACGCAAAGAGCGCACAAACACCCATGTCTCTCCTGTTCCCCTGACACGCTTTAGAAGCGAGCAGCTTGGCGCTGCCGTGACCCCAGCGACACGCCACCTTAAACAGCCGTCGCTGTAGCATTTAGAGCTGCCCTCGTTGTAGCGCACCAATAGAAAGGGAACTACTGCTCGCCAGTATGTACCGACCATTAAGCGAGTGATACTCTGACCCGTGCACCTTCACTGAGGGAGATGGAGGCAGAAACAACAGGAAGAGAAAGACCAACAAAGATTAATAGTTGCCTTTGGGTTGCAGACAGCAAGGGTTTTACCTGCGAGTGTGGGGATGGATGAGTGCATACTGCCTATTCTTTTTCTCTTTTTCCTTTTTTTCATTTCACGTGTTTGGTGCACGCACACCTTCAATTTTTATGCTCAAATATGTTTTCAGGCAGGTGAATATCCAGCGATGCAACACATTTAAGCAAAGACCTGTACAGTGATCACAACAAGAATCTTATTGTTATTAAATGTTGTTAAAACAACCAACTGCTCCTAATTTTATAAAAGCTGTCCTCTTAATGTAGACATTCGAGCTTGGTGGGTGAAAACCAATTAAGTCTTGTGATTGTGATATACGAGGGGGGGGGGCTTCTTTGTTGTTGCTTTATTTACAGATTGCCGATGGCATTTGTGTCAACACGTGAGGTGGGATAACGCCTCATAAAGTGTGTTTCGCATTAAAAGTATAGAATGGTGGGAAAAACACTAAATACAGAGGCCACACATGAGCCAAAGTCTGCTTGAACTGTGCTGTAGTGAACATTTTTGATAATCATTTCCAGTTTGCAGTAAAACAACTTTAATGGTTTTTGCAGTTTGCAATTAGTAATGGTTCTTTGAAGGAATGTATTTATTTGTACCAGTTTCTGTTTGACCGCTTTGTTAGACAGGAACATGAAATTTTATATGTGGTTTAATGAATTACAGCACCACAAGGCAATGTTAAATTAATGCATTGAAATTAATGAAAACTTTCTCCTTTTTTTTCTTTTAACCCATTTTTGCTCCGGTCCTTGTACCTAACCACTTATAGAGGAATGATTTTTTTATTTTGTATTTTAAGCCACTTAAAACTGACCTTTGAATCATTCATGCATAGAAAAGCTAACAAAATATAAAGAAATGGCCGGTATCTGTACATTGGCAGTGTGTCTCTGCAACAAGTCTGAGACACTGAGAGCACAGCAAAGATCCCACATATAGAACATTATAGAGGCTAAATACTAATGAACGTGTGTGCCAGAGCACCATAGGAGTGGTGAATAAACAAACTCGCCACTCTTAAACAAATCTGGTAGAGGAATGTAAAACAGAAGTGGCCTTTAGAAAGGCACTCAACTCTCAGCTGCTTCAGGAAAGCTGCCCAGCAGATCTGCCTGGATTTAACGTATGTATTGGTCGCGTGAAAACTGAAGCTTGATTTGGATGCTTCGTTAGCCGTTTTCTGTTTTTCTGTGTGCGTCTGTTAGGCCGTTTTCATTTCCTCGTATCTGATAGTGAGCTGTGCATCTCTGGCAGGGCTGTGTTTACCGTGGAGCTGTACCTGCAGACGGAGCGACTGCTGATTTTCGGAGCGGAAACACAGGAAACGCAGCATGACTGGATTCAGGCGCTAACAAAGGTGACACAGTTTGCAGATACAGTGCACAATGACACTCGTAAACAATTATTTTCTTTGTGTCTTCAGTGAGCCTCAACCTACCTTTGCTTATTTCATTAAGAGATGTAGTCTCTCTTTCCCTTCCCTCACGTACTGACAGAATCATTCAACACTACACAAACCTGTCCCTGTTTTATCCTCAACTCCCAGGAAACCCAATCATGGACACTGCAACACACAGCATCTTTAATCAATTCGTTTTTAGACCTAGGCACAGTTGATTGTTCCTGCTTGAATTGCAGCCTAGTGTCTAAAGAATAGCAGTGAATGTGTCTACGGGTGTCTGTTTAAGGAAAATGAGGCTTCAGCTGTGCTATTAGTTTCACATTTAAAAAAACCCCAAAAACAATAAAATAGGCTGTTGTCGTCACCCTGCCGGGCAGTCGAGATCAAAGCAACATAGAGGTTTCAAATTTATATCATGGATGTATCTTTCTTGACAGGGACGTCACCTAGGATTTTGAAACTGATAACACAGGTGTATCCACTAAAAATCTCAGAAAATATTGAATCTCAGTGACCTTGACCCAAAGGTTAGAGGTCAGTGGTCAAGTTTTCAGAAAATCTTGTCAATGTAATATTTTGCAATAACAATGCAAGTACTAGGAGGCTGAGGGGTAGCACTGGCCGCTGCCAGTGTTTTTAATTATAGACATTCCTAATAAATAAGACTCCTTTTTGTTTACTTATCGGATCCGCAGTGCTTCATCCCACCTAAAGTTGAGGGACTAGTGCGGAAAGAGAGTGAACTGATTGGCAGACTCCACTACAAAGAAGGTCACGACCTGTACTACTGGAGGATGGGCTGGTTTATGCTGGAAGGCTCTTCCCTGCACTTCAGCTCAGGAGAGGAGGAGGGAGAGGAGGAAGTACTTCAACTCAAGCAACTGCAAGAACTCAGTAAGCATTTTTTCCCTCTTGCCTCTCACTGTGTGCTCATGCTGGGAGCTCAGTGAAGTTGCCGTCTGTATCATTAGCCAGATAAGAAGTTAGATATTGTAACTCAACGTAGGTTCAGTGGTGCATAATCAGGTCTGAAAGTCCAGCAAACTTGAATTTAATAGACAGACCCTCCCTGTCTTGTTGAAGAAACTTTGCTCTAATAACTTTTTGTCCATGATAACATAGTTTGGCTCCTGAAAGTCTTGGCTTTACTTCTCCTTTTTGACAAATAACCATGAATCATCTTATCCAAGTATATTAAAAAATGCATTACATCAATAGCAAGGTTGCTGTCTTTTCTGTTTACCAAAGTATTCGAGAGTCAGATGTGAGGCTGTCTGTCTGACACCTTAAGCTTGACTGAAACTGGGTCATGCAACAGGGAAATGATCCCGAGCACAACTGCAGATCTGCAGAAGAATGGCTGAAAAAGGTGTTGCAATAGCCCAGTTTATGTCCACACCTCAGCCTGATTAAAATACTGAATACATTAGCAGAGCTGTATATAAAAAATGTCTGCAGACCTCATTGAATTGAAGCAGCATAAAGAAGAGTGAGACAAAATTCCTCCACGCTGATGTGAAATAATGATAAGAAGTCATACAGAAAACCATTACTTTAAGTTATTGCTGTTAAAGCTGGCTCATCAAACTATTGAATCATAGGGTGTACGTCTTTCACAGGACTGCAGAGATTCATTTGAAAAACTTTCTTTTTTACATGACTGCAAGTTTAGCTTATAGGATTAGTACAGAGACATGATTCTCAGTTTAAACATGAGAGGTCCCGTGTCTGAATCCCGGACGAGCCCCCAGTTTGTCACTGCCTAACTCGTAAGGCTGCAACAAAAAGGCTTGGCACACTATTTGCATTTCAACAAAGTAACTTTAAAAAAAAACTTGGCTACATTAAATGCAAATCTAATTAGATGTGGAAACTGGTGGGATCAGTGGTATGGACATGTATGACTACTAGCATGCTAGCAGACAGGCAGGTGAGTGAAAGACAAAAAGACGTGGCAACAACATTTTTACAGTTTGGGAACATAGGGTCCAGGTGCTCCCAGTTGGCACTGACAAAATCTTCCCTGGACTTCAGCAATCTGGAACTCATGCAGAGGAAAAATTGAGGGGGATTGTGGGACTTATTTGAATTACTATAAAACCCCCAAACTTTAATCCTGACTGCCTTTAAAAGAAAACCCATTACTGACTTATGTACACATAAAATTTATTTGAACCTAAATAGTAAAAGTTATATTGCTCTCTTAGTTAACACAAACTGTATACCTCAGCTTTCCCTAAATTGCCACAGTCTACATGAGCAAACAATCCCTTAAAAAGCTTCTGGTGGGCCTCTAATAGGCAATAAATCAGATTTTTTTTTTTCATTTTTAATCTCAGAGCCCAAAGCAACCATATCTGTTTCTGCTTGATAGTGTCAGCGGTCAATTGCTGTAACTTCATGATGAATGTGCTGAGATTTGTGGCTTTGTAGCATTCGCTCTATTTTCATATACTCTCTGTAATTTCCAAAAAAACTACCAATCCATAACACCCTCTTACTGCTTGCATTTATACCTACTTAATGATGTCGGAGGATGCAAAGACATTTCAGCTTCTCACACCATTACACATTTCAGCTGAATCTCACTCCTCTATCTGACTAACTTAGTTTTCCATAATATGAAAAAGAAGAAAAAGAAAAGACAAGCTCGGAGAGGAGGAGCAGAGGAGAGAATAAGAAGCTCCTCCGGTAGAGTGAGGTCAGTAAATGTCAATATTACCTAATGCATCGACAGGCAATCGTCATTCAGATGAGATTCGGCTTCCCCAGAGCTGCTAACAAAATCTTTAATGAAAACATGATCTTTTTTTCTTTTTTTTTTAGAAGAAGAAGAATTCATTGCTTTCAAAAAGCCACATAATGTTCACAGTATGAGGGTGTCACGGTAGCACTGTTCCCACAGCCCACTTACACGAATTTTGCCAATATGTTCTCATTTCTGGCAAAATTGCAAGTTATTTAAAGGACAGTCGGTGCGGAGTGGCTGCCAGTCAGCGTGGAAGGCTCAAAAGTTCACGCATAGTTTGGCAGATAATAAAGATTTTGGAACATTTCAATGAATTGCGCCAGTGTGATGTGCGAACAGAAGGAGGGGAGAATCAATGGATCTTTTTAATCCACTTACAGCTCGACATGGATCAAATCGCGCAGAGCGCCGCCCCATCTTCTCACCTGGGGCGGGATAAAGAACTGCAGTGGTGTTCATTTTTATTCCCGGCTTTCTCAAACCATATTTGTCACAGCCGGGGAGCCGTTAGCGCCAGAAGGGACTGTGTTTTGTCAGGGGATGGTAGGTTCTGGAGCACTGAAAGGATCCCTTTAGGATTCACAGCCTGTGACATGGGATTAACTGTTATTTTCTCTACAGTGACACCACCGCATGAAAGGTGCCCCTGTGTAACACTCGGGGATTAAATAAATACACTTTTCAATTAAAAAAACAAAAACAAAACATGTTTCCAGCACGGTTCACCTCAGACTGCATCAGTTTTATTTGCAACTGTGATGTCTGAGAATGTTTTCTTTCTTTTTTTTGCATCTGGCTGCCAGAGTTATAATCATTCCAGTCACCTCTAAAATGCATTTAAAAAAGATTTCCCACTGACGATAAAGCACAAGCCTTAATTTTTGTCTTTTATTCGTTTTATTCTTAATTGCCTCGACTGTCATTTATTCTCTATTCAGCCCAATGACTAAACATAATGATTTATTGATCCTTGCTAGTTATTCGGTATTCATTTCTCTTGGCTATGAAGCACTTGTAACTTGTTAACAGCAACAAAAAAGAATCATATCCCCAAAAGAATGAGAGTGCAATACGTCTTAAAGCGGCTTCCCGGGGGCTCAGCTGTGTACTTGAGAGGAGATTGATCTTTTTGTGATGTCTTGTGTCAAGATATCTGCGGCACAAATAACAAGAAGCAAAGTAAAATGAGGAGAAAATGACAGATAGAGCTCGATAATCATTAACCTGTCACGGTGCACAAATCAGCCTTCCCACCCAGAACTTTGTGAAATGAAAGGTTTTCAAACAAGATAAGCACATTAAGTTTAAACTCATTCAGTGCGATTTTTCTCAGTGGATTTCTCTATCGGCACTGGCCTAAATAGAAAAAAAGGAAGTTAATCCCACTGCTCTGCTCAATCATCTAAAGTTTGAGATAGGCATCAGCACAAGACTGCTGTCCAGCACATTTGGCAGTCACATTTAAAATGTGTCCACAATGAGGTTTGTTTAAGGCAAAATTAGATTTTTAAAAAACTCATTTTTAAGATATGTAACAATCGCCGGTCACAGCTAACACGTGTTTCAAAGTCGCTGATAATTCATCTTTAAATGGATGCTAATGTTAGAAATAGCCAATTCGGATTAGACTAGAATTTTTCTCTTAATGACATGACAACGTTACATTAATATGTTATATGTCATTTGATTTTTCTGAACAGTATCAGTAAGTTTGAAGGTGCTGTTATGGAAAATGGGGAATACCATGTAAGTCCACTTTTCCAGATACATTGATGAAGGTCCTCCCTGGAATTTCTTTAACCTCTTGTAGCACTTTAGAGCTCAATTTGTGGTGCTAATAACATATACACAAGATATATACACATATACACCAACTTGTCTATTGCAAGTCATTAGCCAATAAGCATGCAGTGTTATCAATCCTACAGTCTGATTCATGATAGCTATGCTCATCTTTTATTGTATGACTGAGATGAGTCATTTTTCTAAAACATATAAATAGTCTGACAAATAGACTTTTATTTACAGTATCTTTCCATGCCATAGACAACCAGCAGGAGTTGCAAGTACAGGGAAAAAATAAAAACAATCCACTTTCTTTCTTTCCAGTTGTATTTACTGACAGCTCAGTTCCTAAAACACCACCGTGTGTAATCAGACCCGAAGCCCTGCAGAGGTGGGACGGTCATATTGTGAGCTTATCACATAATACTTGTAAAAATAAAAAGGGGAATCAAAATGCGCTAATGGAAATGTGGATTTAAAATTGCTCACATTTTGTGAACAAAAACTTAATGAAAATTTCCTCCAGGAAGCTCAGCGCAAATTAAAGAGAGAACAAGGCCGCAGAATTAGTTCCTTATCACACAAACATATTAAGTAATAAAAAATTTCCAACTGAGCTGTAAGATGGATAAAAGAGGATTGCTGTGTGTTTGTTCAAACGGCTATGACAAGTGTTTTACATTTACCTGATAACACTGTTAATAAACCTCTCTCAAGTCAATATCAGTCTCTGAAGTTCTTTGCTTTCCCCTTTTGTTGCTTGGATCAGAATGAAACACTGTGCCCTTGAAAATCTGCCAAAGAAAATAAAAAGCAAATTACTTGTTAAGAGAGACTTTTGGGGATTAATAGTTTTTGCTGTTTAGCTCAACATACAAAGGCCTATACGAGTACAAAGGATTTGCTAGCCAAAATAACACTGTGATGTGTAATGCTTTTACCAGTCGTCTATCTCGCTTGTGCCAACAAATTGAATTGTGTCTGTACAGATTATTGATCAGTCTGTTAAATATTCAGTAGAGGAAATTGAAAAGTTTTTTTCTTGTCACTCTAAAGTAATGACAGTTATGGATATTTCACACAAAGAATAAACTACACACATAGGAATTCTTATTTTTTTCCCCTCAGGGTACCGAGAGTCTGACTGAACCAGATTAATAGTGGGGTTAGTTTTAGCACGACTGAAAGCAAAGGGTAGAAAAGGGTAGAAAATCAATATAACTCGACTTGTATAGCTTTCCAATTTATAGATTATATCTTGTTTGTTTAATCCTGGAGAAACAAAGTGTGAAGGACACTCTAAAGTTGAGTTAAAGTAACCAGCAGTCCTTGTAGAAGCACGTCTTTCCCGTCAGCAGCCAGCTTATTGCCATCGAACAGTTATTTTAGGACCGAGCTCCTGCCTAAATCAATGAGGCGAGAGCCATAAGTTTTATTTCAGAGGTCACCGGGATGCAAAAACCTTCCCACAAAACGCAGTTTGAAAGTGTTTATCTTCCAAATGATGTTCCTCCTCTGTGTACACAGCATTAACTTAACATTGTGTGCCAACCAGTCCATCACCCTTAGCTTATTCTACCAGAGTCCTAAATAAATACAATGATTGATTTTTGATTAATTAAAAATCCAATACTCCAAAGTATGTATGGATTTTCATAAAACGTATATGTTATTTATATACTTGTGTATACTTGTGTATGCTTTGCCTGATTTTGCTGCTTACCGTGTTTGTGGTGTTCCAAAGACATGTGTTACACAGTGCCCTCCGGTGGGCAAACTATGCAACATCAACACATAACAGAAGCTCTTTACTTTTAAAACTTTCACTTTCAAATTGGCCAATAGAAAGTAATAGCAATAACAGCAGCCTGCTGATAAATTGGTCAGGCTCAAATCATGTACCTCAGTCCTCAATCACAGAGAACTAGTCTTGTTGGGGACCATCTGGCAACAACCGGTAGTTTGGGAAAAATGAGTCATTGCCAGAGGTTGCTGCCCTTTTAACACAGGCCTGGTAGAGACTGGTCACTTGGTAAACATGTATATTTCCTGACCAGTTAGCGACTGATTGCTTGCAGTCGCTAGCATGAAACTGGTCACACAGAAGTGCACAGCGCTGTACTGAAAACCTTGTGATTTTTTTTGGTCCTCAGTAGGTTGCCGCGGTCACCAATAGTTTGCATGGAAGATCTCAGCTAGTCTGCAAACACTCGCAAATTACTTGCCAACTAGTAGTGAAAAACACAATGCAAACAGGAAACGGAGAACATTTACCTTCATAGGCAAGGTGTGTAAAGCGCTTTGAGTGCTCAGAGTAGAAAAGCGCTATATAAGAACCACTTCATTTACCATAGAGAAATTGCACTTTTTCAAATGTTTTGGTAGCAGCAATACGTTTTACTTGTGTCGAAAATTATCCGTTTCCAGTTTGCATTATACTTTATTTTACAGATAAGCTAGCATCTTCCATGGCGACACCCACTAACCACCCACCAATTGGTTGGGCAATGTATATGTTTAGTGATCAGATTTTTCTAGGTGGTCACCAGCTGGTGTCTAGGCCTTAGTAACTGTGGTTTTAAGTAAATAATATTTAAATAAGTTGGTAAACTATGGATTCTCCTATATATTTCTATGCAGGACACTTTGAGTGCCACATCCCTGCTGTTACAAGCTATAGCACACGTATAGGATAGCTTTTTTATGGATACAGTCAGCCAAGAAGAAACCAAATACACTCTTATATCCATCTGTACTTTAGTAATGAGTAGATACGCCCGCCACCACACTATAGAAACTGAATTTCAACTACACACAAAATTTTGACCATCTGATTGGCTGTTTGGGGCCAGCGCTGCTATTTTTACTGTTACTTACTAGATTTCTACACAGGATTTGTCTCTGTGAGGAGAAACGAAGCGAAAACGCTCATTTCCCCCCGATTTTTAATCTTCTGTAACAAAGCATGTAATTGTATAGCAAGTGTTTCTACTGAGGTACAGACCAATCTCCAAAATTCAACAGTTCTTTAAGGTGAAGTCTTGCTTCTTTTTTCGATTTTGTGTCTTTCTGTCTATATATGTGAGCACAACCAGTGCTCGAGTGTGATGAAAGTGCCAGATGTTGTTGCTAGGAGATTTGTGCAGAGCCTCATATCTTTTTTTGTACTTTCTCTGCTGCGTGTGATTGTTGCTATGATCCAAGCAGCTGTTTGAAGCCCCAGAAGAGATTATGGCAGAGCGCTCGAGTCCCTGAGCCCAGTTTCTGTGGATCTTACACTCTTATTCCGATTTCAAAAGATTGATTCTGCAAAAGAGGAATGCCAGTAACCTTGTATCTGTTTTCCTTTCCTTTCTGTCTTTTATTTGATGTCTTAAATACTGCGCACAGTGCAATCTTGTTTAGTTGCATTTCAACCAAATTTATGTAAACCTTGATGACAAATGAAACCAGTGTTTACGCCCCACTTCCCTCGCTTGTTTAACTCGGCCGTCAGACGCTCGCACACAGCCTGAAATCATGTTTCCCATTACAACAAGGAAACGCTATTAACTCCAATGCATTTGGCATTTTCCATCACTGCACTGTTTTCTCACTTATCTCATTTTCCCAGTGTATACCTACACCTTTGAAAAGCCCAGTCAGATATGTCTAGATATATTTTAGCAGGGTGTTATTTAACTGATTTAAACAGCAAATGTATACTTAAGAGCCGATGAATGAATGCATCACCTCTCAAGTTCCATGGCGAAAGTTTTCTCAGGCTTTGGAGTGAGATCAAATAATTCTAAAGATGTTGCTCATTTGAATGTATGCCTGCATTTTCTAAACCTTGTTGCCTTTTTTTTAACCCCACTCCAGCTGTCTCCACACATACTGAGGGTGAGGACAAGATCCAAGTCCTGCTGATGGTGGCGTGTGGAAGGTATGTCTCTAAGGGGGGGGGGAGGGAGAGGAAAAAAGCCTGTGCTAATTGGAACTGTATTAGCAATACAGCAACAATATGCTTTATGCGGTCCTGTTAGCTTCAACTCAGCCTTTTGTCTTGTTAGTCCAAATGCACCTTACCTACTGTAACCATCCAAGGTAATTAAAACCTCGCCTCAGTTAGAGAGAAGGTGTGAGATGGCACGTAGCATCGCAGGCCTCGCACAAGCCAACCAGTTTAGTCTCGCTTTTAGCGTTGTGCAATAAAACTTTGTCTTTAATTGCTGTTTGTTTGTATGTTTTTTTTTCTTTCTTTCTTTTTTTTTTGATCAAACCTACTGGGAAACCAGCGGTTGTTTATAGACGTGTGTTCTGTAGCTCTTTGGATTCCTTTAATCATGTCGGTTGTTAATTTAATGACTTAGCAGCGCGTTTCTAAATATATGAACTTAAGGTCATCGAATAGGAAGCGCCGTGTTGTACGGGCAAATCACAGGATGGCATTCTTCACCAGTAATTACTGTGTTTCTGTCTCTCTTTTTTCACATATATATAAATAGAACAGTTTACATTCATGGCTTCAACAAGATGGATTTCACCGTGTGGCACTCTGCTATCAAACTGGCTGCTGGCACAGACGGCAATGCGCTCGGCGACCAACAGCTGACTAAAAACGGTGTTCCTATTATAGTCGACAGCTGCATTGCTTTTGTCACTCAGTATGGTGAGCTACATTGTATCTCTCAGCTAAAAGAGTTTGTTGTTTTTCTTTAATTTGAAAAAAGAAAGTTCTGCATTACTATTATTATGATTTCCCCTTGAGCAGCTGATTCATCCAGTGCACTGTGTTGCGATGAGAGTTTCATGCTTTCTAATGTTGTCTGGCAATGCGCTGCCATTATCCTATCTCTTCCCTTTTAAAAAAACTGTTTTAGAAGTGTGGAAAATAAATGTAGCACAACTGCACTCTGCTGTTAATCAGAGGAACGCTCCATACAAAGTTAGAAACTGCATCATACAGAGTCCTGGCTTGGTTAATGTATGTGGACTTTTACAGTGTCACGGTAAGTAGTGTGCTGTATAATGAGGGATTGGAATAAAAGTTAACTCTGAGTGAGACTGTGAAATGGCACAGAAGGTTAATATACCTTGCACTGACAATTTTATTCCACCTGCAATTTAGATTCAAATGTGCTTATGCAACGTTGTTAAATCCTACAAGTCACACTGTCCATAGGGCTGCTTACTTTTCTATAAATGCATCCTGCCATATAGAAAATCTACATGCTGTCATTTTCTCTTGGAGATGCTACACGGCAGAGCTATTTGTCATTTGGACAGAACATGTGCAGAAGGAAGCTGGCGATTTCTTATTAATCAGCTGTCTTCTGACACTGTACCCAGGTTTGTGCCAGGAGGGAGTCTACCAGAGGCCTGGGAATCCTGGTCGAGTGTCTCACCTCCTGGAGGAGTTCACCCATGATGCCCGTAATGTGAAGCTGAGGGAGAAGGAGCACCAACTTCAGGATGTGACTGACACGCTGAAGAGCTTCTTGTCTCAGGCAGAAGATGCACTACTGACCAAGGAGCTCTATCCATACTGGGTGTCAGCTCTGGGTGTGTGAGCTTTCTGGCATGTGGGATGTCAAACACTACAAAGTCTGCAGAGTTGTAGGAAAGAGAGAAATACACAAGTCCACCATGCTAAACTGTGTGAATTTGCAGAGTAATTTTAAACATATTGTAAAAACCCTTTTGTGGCATGTGTTTGAACATAAGCTTTTGTACTTGTGTTTATTCATTTTATTATATTTCTTCTCTGCTTGGTTCGGTAGATGAGAAGAGCGAAAGGCAGAGAGTGAAGAAGTACTCCGCTTTCATAGAGAGCTTGCCAAAGATAAACAGGTCAACCCTTGAAGCCCTGCTGCAGCATCTTTACAGGTAAAAACGCACGAGATCACAGGCATCGAGCTCTGACATGTTTAGCATTTGTGTTAGTGAAGCTGTTTTATTACAAAGGTCAACTTTTACATTCTGGGAGGGAAACTTTAAGGGTTTTTAAAAACTCGAAACCCGAGGCGCAAAGACGACTTAAACAACATTGTATTAATAAAAATAACACAACACAGTAAATAAGATGACAGAGCTGGTTTCTAACCACTAACCCTGTACTCTAAAATGCATCTTCTATTTATGTACGCTCGCTATCCACACTAATTATGTGCTACAGATGGAGCAGTGGAAACTGCTGCACCTACACAGTGCAGACAGAGTGGGTGAGACACAGACAGAGAGAGAGAGACCAGGGACTATTTTTTAATAACCATAAATAAGTGGAAGGATATCAGCCTACCAGATAAACCTGTTGAAAATCCTAGCATTTGCCAGATTCTTTATTTCTCTGTAGCTTTTTGTAGCTGTTTTTATACATGGAAAACAGCTAAGCTCATAAGCTAATTAGCTGCATTAGCTAACCAAATTTATCCTACTTGTGGTTAGACTTCACAGGGAGGTATATATTTTTTCTGCTATAATCTAATTTTATTTAAATTTTTGTGCTTAAACAAACTTTCATACTCTAAAAAATTATGTTCAGTGGAAGGGAAAACAGTGCTGAATGCTAAGAAGATAGCTTTAGCCGTTTAAAAGTAGCACATCTAGCTGTTTCAGAGCATTATTTTAGCACCACAGAGCTAGTTAGCAGCTAAAAGCTAAAGCAACCTATTTGTTAGCAAGCTAATGTTGCTAGTCAGTGCTGCGATTTGGCATTAAAACATTACTCATAGCTTTTTGGATTATATATATTTTACATATCTTGCAAAGTGCAGTCCAAATGCTGTAGCTTCAGCTTACACAGATATAGTAACTGTTAGGAATAAAATGATTAAATAAAGCTGGTTTTTATGATTTTTATATACACATTGCGATTTGCTCATGAAAGAGTTAGCACTCTGTGTTTTGAGGGTGGGAAGCTTCATTCAGCGCTATGACTGAATTGAATTATTGTGATTGATGTAGAGTACAGAGGTTTTGCAACATGCTTATCATAACTAGTTAACAGTCAGGATGTTTTTTTTCTGGGCCAAGGGAGTCCGAGCAGAATGTCCCAAACTTAGGCTACGTTCACACTGCAGGTCTTAAAGCTCACTTTCGATTTTTGGAACAAATCCGATTTTTTTTGTCTGCTCGTTCACACTACAAATACAATGTGACAGCAAACGCGCTCTAGTGTGAACCCTCCAAGAGGCCCGCATGCGCAAAAGAAGACGTCACACAAAACGCGCTCTGTTTAGACACAGAGCAAACAGTATGTTTGACTGATGGCCTTAATATAAAGACTTGTTTCAGACTTTATGTTTCCCAATTTTTGCTTTAAGTTATAAAGTTATTTTGTTATCTACATATGTCCTAATAATTATCCTTATTGCTGTTTTAGAGAGGAGCGGTGTTTCAAAGGATAGCTGCAGATTTCTGTCAGAATCTGCAGATTATACAGTACAAATAAAATTTTCACTTTTCTCCAACGTTGTCTTCCCAACAGTTTCACTAACATCTACACTGGATGGCCAGGAAGTGTTCACGATGTGTTCTCGGGCGCTTCTCCGG